GAGTACATTTGCGATAATAAAATGACGACCTCACAACCTCTGTGAGTGATCTCTGAGGTTGGGTATTAGATCAAATATTATGGTCAAAACATATGATGTAGTCAGACATGATCACCTCACAAGCCCCTCTTGTTTCTTGTGAATGATGATTTTCTACTGCAGTACATGCATGGAAACCTCTGAATAAATGAACACAGGTGTTTCTACCTATTGATTATGGACGTTAACTGAGATTTTAAGGAGCAGAAGTAAAAGCCAGAAATTATGGACAAGTAGTCTGTAGGCCTGTCAAGTCGCCCGAAACAACGAAAAAGATGAAAAGATGCCCAGTGTTTATTTTTTTGGCTACTGATCTAGTTTTACATGGTAGCACTGAGCTAGAAGCCAAACACAAACTTCTCCTTTCAAGACTTAGACAACTCGCTGAATGTGGGAAGTTCTTAGCCACAAAATGGCTAATTATTCATTTTTCCCAATTTGCCAGATGAAAGTGGAGCTAATTTGACAATTTAATTTAATTTAACTTTTTCTCCGTAATAAATTTCTGTTTAACGGACTCATATCGTTTGCCTGAAATTTAGCACCAATTTTTGGGAAAAGTTTATTTTCAAACATTCCAAACACCTCTGACCCCAATTTTACACAACGTTTGCAAAACATGCCAAATAATGTGCTCCCAGGCTGCTGTTTAGAAGAGAAATGCCTGCTGGGGTTAATAAATAAGGCCAGGACTTGTTTGATTTCTGCCTTGTGCTTCTCTCTTTCAATAAAAAGCATGGACAGTGGACTCTCAAAGCCAAATGAATGTAAATGCTGTATGCACTGAAAGTATATGGGCAATTATGTGCATTAGCATGAATTAGTCATTAGAGGGAAGAGAACCTGAGTCATGCATGCGAAACCTGTTGCCACCCTTGCAGTGTGCCGGACAGATGGCTGTCTGCAATATGACACGGCAGCACTCTCCTTCAAGTGTGTTAAAGCAATCATACACTTGTTTTCTTTAGGTTTGCACTGGAGCTACAAGGCTAATTTAGCTAACAAGTAATAGATGCTTAAATAGCACCAATGAGCATCATACAAACTGCATTGCCTAAATCATCACACACTTTCCTCAAATGGACCTGCAGTGATTCTGGACACTAAGCTGATTTTAAAATGGACGACGTTCAGGCTTGAAGGCGGCTGCTACTGTTTTTAGCAATGCAATGCACAATGCACAAGGGCTGGCTTTAGCCTTTTTGAGGGCCTAATGTACTGTAGAGCTGATGTACTGTAACATTAGAGCCTAAACAATAACAATGAGTGACAGAAGTTGTTTAAATGATATACATTTATAATTGGCTAATTTGTGTACGGCTGCTGACTGGAGGCTTCTTTGGGGCTCTAATAAGTCTAATAAAATTATAGATTACTCTTCAACATTCTCAATCCAGGGGTCTGGGTGTCTTGTAATTATTTAAATCCACATTGTAAAAGTTAGTGTAAGTTAGTTAGTGGAGCACTGATGCCCCCCAGTATCAACCTGGACTAATCTAGACCCTTTCCGACTTCCACCATAGACTGGCCTCACATCCCTTAACCGTCACTGCACACCTGTACTTTAACTTCTTTTCGTTCTTTGCTGCTATTGGACTATTTTACTCCAACCTTTCTGTACAGTTTACAGTACCTGGTTTCTTCAGTCATATGCTGCTCTGAGTTGTAGGCAAAAGTCTGAACCTGTTTTCCTGATTTTCTAAGTGAAATTAACACATCATCTGCAGGAAACAAGTTTAAATATTACAATTTTTTTTGCAAATTTTACTGCTCAATTTCTATTTCTTTGCTGAATTTAACATATAAACCATAGAATGTACTATAACTTTTACACAAACCACATTCATTCTTCATTCATCATATCCTCCTGGGTTGCAGGGGGTGCTGGATCCACACAGAGGAGACCTTGGTTGCCTGGATGGGGAATCAAACCCAGACCCTTCTAGGTGTGACGCGACAACGCTATCCCTTTTTTATGTTTTGGTAGATAAAGTGATTGTGCATTACAATGTACAGAAGTGTGGCTCTTTGTAAAGGACTTTTTTTTATCAGATTTTCACTTAAAAAACTGACCGGGCCACCAGACCTTTTGAATTTAACTGCATTTGATGCTGATTCATATATTTTGTTTTGTTGTCCTGTCTACTTAGCGTCATGTGTTTTTGCTGTCCTGTGTATTTATTGTCCTGTAAATGTGCTGTCCTGTGTATTTATTGTCCTGTAAATGTGCTGTCCTGTGTATTTATTGTCCTGTAAATGTGATGTCCTGTGTATTTATTGTCCTGTAAATGTGCTGTCCTGTGTATTTATTGTCCTGTAAATGTGCTGTCCTGTGTATTTATTGTCCTGTAAATGTGCTGTCCTGTGTATTTATTGTCCTGTAAATGTGCTGTTCTGTGTATTTATTGTCCTGTAAATGTGCTGTCATGTGTATTTATTGTCTTGTATATTTATTGTCTGGTATATTTATCATTTCTATCTATTCTGCACTTGATTCTGTTACATATCTGCACTTTATGTAGTTCTGTGTAACTGTCGCTGTTGTGTGTCGCACAATAAAGCCTGAAAAACACATTTTGTTTAAATGTATACAAGCTGCGTTGACAATAAAAAATCATGTGACGACTTAATTGTAAACGCAATATGGCAAGTGATTCCAAACTTTTGAATGGTTGTATAAGCTTGCATTACTACATTAGCCTTGTAGCTCTACTGCACAAATAAAGAAGCAAACCCCAGACACCAAATACGTGAGTGGAACATCAGGTAAATTTGGATTTTTGCTAAACTATCATAATAAGATGTTTTATAATGCAATGACTATGCTGCAGTGACCAAACCTCACAGACATGTGCACACTGTGACGTCCCCAAACTGACTGTACTGCAATAGGCTAGAGATTAATACCAGGAACTCAGTACAGTCAGAGTAAAATTGTTAAAAATTAAAAGATGAATAGATATAATTCATCCAGTGAAACATATCACAGGGAGTATTTTGGGTCTGCTCAAATGAGGTCAGAGGTGTGCGTATCCCGCTGGATCAGCTTACTCAAGTGGTGTGTGTGGACACAGAGACACACTGGACAGCAAGGTGTAGCCTGTATTTCTGCATTTAATACAATTTATTCACAATATATTTTATTAATAAGATATTATGCTGCTGCTGCCATCAGGCCTTGTGCTTAAAAGGATCAACAGAACTGAATGTAACTGCTGTCACATTTGTTCATTTTAATTCTGTTATTTCAACATGTTCTTGCGGTTTGTCATTATAAGCACACAGGATCAGACGGATCTCTGCCACCAAATCCTAATCTTAAGGTGTTTCCACAAACACTAGGACTGTTTGTTAAGAAAGCCTGCAGAACTGGCACAAAATCCTCCCAGTAAAAGGTCCTTGTTGAGAGCTTTTATCAGTTAGATCCTCCTAGCACAAAGCATGTGGACCATTCTACTGGAGTTCAGAACCCATTTGGGACTTTTAACTGACTTGGACTTTAGACTAAAGTCCTTTTGCTTTATGTTATGTTAATTATGTTTATTTTATGAAAACAAGTACTTAAACAGTCCATTTTGTTGCTACCAGAAGAATCATAATATTTCAGTAGTGACAATTTTAGCTCCTTTTGAGTAGAATTCAAGTACATGACTAGAAAACTCAGCTCTGAACAGTTGTACACACATAAAATCACAATGTGGTTCACTAAACTGCAAAAATATTTACGTAATTGCACAAAATATGAGTTTCAGTAGTGACAATTTTTAATGTTACACACTGATTTTCTACTTGGCTTCCAAACAGTGGGATCCAACTGCTCACCATGTGGCCATGAGGGACAGTTGCAGTCTCACTTACTGCTCTAAAATTCAGGGGTGTGGCTAAAACAGACTAAAACTCTTGTTTTGGTGGTGACATGTGGGACAGCATTATTTATATAAGTTTTTTCATTTTAAAATGAAAATCTAAATCTTTTAACTTCTCTTGAAAATAAATAAATACACAAAAAATAAGTATTTTTTTTTTACAATACTACAATACAGTACAAAACGCTTTACAATAAAAACAGTCAAATGCAGACAGTGCAGTGAATTTTACTAATAACTGCATGAATTTTAGTATTTCAGAGACATACTGTTTTAATTCTAATCTACCACTTTTCATACTGCCATTGCAATATTCAACAATGTCCCTGATAGCAAGAGGATAGTGGGCCACTGTTTGCCCGCTGATAGCAAAACTGGCGGTCCACTGGCGTTTTGCTCAGCATTTTCTGGGCAGCCCACAAGTGTTTAAACCACTCATCATCACTTAATTTCCACTCACAGTCCAATTTCCTTATTTTTTTCCTTTCTTTAGTTATACTTTGTGAATTAGTAAATTAGTTAAGAAAATAGTTATAATCTAGCTCAGTGTCAGCAACAACATTTTCTATAAAATCTTCAGTTGTTTGTAATATTTTTCCAAAATAAAAGATGCATTTAAATTCTGTTTGAGGAGGTTAAAAACTAGCTAGAGCTTGTATGCAGGGCAGTAATCAGGGTGGTCCAAGGGTGGACCAGCAGTGGCAAACAGTAAGCAGTGTGCTGACCAAGCCAGTGGACCGATATATGGGGTTATTGAACACACTTAAAAAAGTGGTTCTTCAAGAGTAAAGAGTAAAGACACATATAGAATGGTGACAACTCAAAGAGCCACTGGAATGCATGAAGTGGTTCTTTGCATGGTTAAATGGTTCTACTCTTTTATGGACAACCTGTTCTATGTGGTTCCTTAAAGAACATTTTAAAATGGTTCTTTTTAACACCAAAAGGACGACTGTTACTACTATGTAGAACCATTTTTTGCTAAGAGTGAACATCCCATTCAATGTCAATATCCTACTTCTCAGCATCTCCTCAACAACAGACCAATCCTACCAATCCCAAACAGACTGGACAGTGATAAAACAGATTCCTTACCAAGACCTTTGAGAACTTTCTCAGCTGATGGCTCCTCCTCTGGGCTCCCGCTGGCCTCCGCACTGGTGGCCACTTCCTCAGGTCCGACTTCTTCATCCAGCTTCTCGTCCTCGTTCTCCAGGATGGCGATCTGCTCCTCCATCAGGCTGGAAGCTGAGCCATATGTGTTGATGATGTCCTCGAGCTGCCTGCCGAAGTCCTCGATTGGGTCCACGGGCTGCTCCTCCTCACCATTGACCTGGTCACTGGCATCAACCGAACTGCTCTCCATCATCTGCTGAACAAATTTAAAACTATATCAGTGACTGACACCATTCTAGTAGGGTGGAAATACTGTCCCTATGAAAAGACTGGCTGATTAAAACGGGTCGCTCTGCCAAGTTCTTGATGACAGTCTTGGCTTGATGTGGAAATCGGACCAGGCGAATTAATGAAGAGCGATTATGCACTGCTTGGAGAGCAGTTTGGTAGGAGGCCCCTAAATCACCAATCACTAAATGTTTTTTTGGAGACGGATCACTGTCGGGCGATTTGCGGAGCGGGTGTAAATAAGGAGGCTTTGTGTTTTCTATGCAAATGCCTGCTTGTGTTTGTAGAAAATGCAAATACAAATTTGGGGGAATGACAGAACCTTTCTTGCTGATTAATGTGAATGCCTTGAGCAGGAACAACAGGAACTGTAGAACGGTTCACATTAAATGTACTGGAGTTTGCAAAAAAAGGTCTTTTTGCTTTTATAATGTTTCTTAAAACAGTTCTTGACCATCTTTCTTGAAGCCACAGAAGAACCCTTTTGTTTTGCTAAAGAACCATGTAGGACATCCAGGCTACAGAGAAGCTTTTCCCACAAGCCATCACTGTCTTAAACTGTTAATTATTACACATAAACAATAATGCAGCTTCTAAACTGCACTTCTAAATATACTGGTATATAGTATCACACTCAACTCCATCCTCAAACTACCGTCTCAGACCAGTGCTTATTCTAGCATCTTACTTATCTGTCGTATTACCCCACTTATCTGACTGTTACCTCACTTACCTGCCTTATTACCCCACTCATCTGACTGTTACCTCACTTACCTGCCTGATTACCCCACTTATCTGACTGTTACCTCACTTATCTGTCATATTACCCCACTTATCTGACTGTTACCTCACTTACCTGCCTTATTCCCCCACTTATCTAACTGTTACCTCACTTACCTGCCTTGTTTCCCCACTTATCTGACTGTTACCTCACTTACCTGCCTTATTACCCCACTTATCTGACTGTTACCTCACTTACCTGCCTTATTACCCCACTTATCTGACTGTTACCTCACTTACCTGCCTTATTCCCCCACTTATCTGACTGTTACCTCACTTACCTGCCTTATTACCCCACTTATCTGACTGTTACCTCACTTACCTGCCTTATTACCCCACTTATCTGACTGTTACCTCACTTACCTGCCATATTACCCCACTTATCTTACTGTTACCTCATTGATCCCTTTCTTTGCCACTATAGACCCTTTAACTGCTGCTGCACTCAGCACTTTAACTTAAGTCGCATACTTGGCACAATGTAAAGGTTACAGGTATGACTGTGTGTGTGTGTGAGGGTGGACAACATGGACAGGCTGCTGACTGGCTACAGCTGCTACTTGTGATATTTTAAACATCTGGTATTTTTACATAAATTGTTATGGCTGTATTGATTTAAAAACAATATTGTGGTGGATCCACCAGACCACTGAGTAACAAACACATCAACACCACACCAGGGTTAAATGACATAAAGGGGCTGTCGCCAAATTCTTAGCAATGGATTGCCAGTAAGATACTCAGTTCGATAGGATTAACAGGGGTTTTCACATCCACACATCTCATTTGCAAAAACAGTTCTCCAATGAATCAGTCACTGAATGGTTCTGTAGGGAACCAAATATGGTTCTTCTATGGCATTGTGCAAAAACCTTTTTGGCACCTCTATATTTTTAACAGTGTGAGAAGATTTTATGGTAAAAAATAATTTGGACAAAGGTACACAATGGCCTAATTAAGAACATAAATAAAGCAAAATAAATATAAATAAAACAATATAAATACACACTACTATTCAAAAGTCTAGAATCGTTGGGCCTCATTCACCAATATCTTCCAAAGTTTTTATAAATTTGTTCCTGTGAAAAGTTATAAGATCATGTATTTTTAAACCTCAGACCTGTTTGAGTGTGTGTAGATTCTGTTCTTACCTAAGAACAAATCCCAAATAGGAAAGCAGAAAGGTTCACTGGTGGCATTAGATAAATAAGTAAAGGAGTGAATAAGTAAATAAAATAAATAAGTAAATAAAATGGCTGTATTTGCTTTGACTCCTGGTTCCCGTAACCACTCTGAATGACTTTGTTCAAATCTCAGTGACTGAATTATGCAGAAACTGAATTGGAATTCCTCTTTAAACTAATTGTTTCAAAATAAATATTTTATGGTGTCACACATACAGGAGAATTCCACCAATCTTTTCAAAATTTCTGCAAAATTCAATCACTGAGAAGTGAACAAAGTCATTTAGAGTAGTTTGTGAATTGGTTCATTGTAGCTAAACTTACAGATGTCTTTACAGTGGTGGTGATAGGAACCAGGGGTCACCATGACTACAACACAAATATAGACATTTTATTCACTATTCAAACCACCAGTTCACCTACACATGTCTTCTGATTTTTTATAAGTTGATAATTGTAAAATAATGTTAGTCTGATGTCTCAGACATCAGGCAGTGAATTCACAACCACTTTACCTAGTAACTCTGAAAGAGCTTTAGAGGCATTAAACTCTTCGGACGTCGGGTTCCTGATTCGGTATGTCTTTCTAGAATGACGCAATTCACATCAAACCACTCTGAATGACTTTGTTTACATCTAAATGATTTATTTTTACAGAAATCCAATTTCACCAAGACACCTAAGTAGCTGTAATACCCCCCTTTAACCCTGTTCTTCAGTGGTCAGGACCCCCATGGACCCTCACAGAGCAGGTACTATTTGTGTGTTGGATCATTCTCAGCACTGCAGTAACACTGACGTGGTGGTGGTGTGTTAGTGTGTGTTGCGCTGGTCTGAGTGGATCAGACACAGCAGTGCTGCTGGAGTTTTTAAACACCTCAGTGTCACTGCTGGACTGAGAATAGTCCACCAACCAAAAATATCAAGCCAACAGTGTCCTGAGGGCAGCGTCCTGTGGCCACTGCTGAAGGACTAGAGGATGACCAACACAAACTGTACAGCAAGAGATGAGCTATCGTCTCTGACTTTACATCTATAAGGTGGACCGACAAGGTAGGAGTGTCTAATAGAGTGGACAGTGAGTGGACACAGTGTTTAAAAACTCCAGCAGCACTGCTGCGTCTGATCTACTCGTACCAGTGCAACACACACTAACACACCACCACCACGTCGGTGTTATTGCAGTGCTGAGAATGACCCACCACCCAAATAGTACCTGCTCTGTGAGGGTCCATGGGGGTCCTGACCAATGAAGAACAGGGTAAAAGGGGGCTAACAAAGTATCAGAGAAACAGATGGACTACAGTCTGTAACTGTAGAACTACAAAGTGCACCTATATAGTAAGTGGAGCTGATAAAATGGACAATGAGTGTAGAAACAAGGAGGTGGTCATAATGTTATGCCTGATCGGTGTATCTGCAGCGGCAGCATCCGTCAGATACGTTTCAAAACAGGATCTTTTCAGAGCTTTTTTTCAGCTCCAACAGACTTGAAAGTCTCGTCACAAATATCTAGACTTGGTTTAATCACACAGTTGTCCTAACAGTGAGCCAGAAGTCAAAAGGCGGCGAGCTGGCCTCAGATCCATGTGACAGCCACTGCTGGGGGTGGGAACGTAGGGAAAATAGTGCAAAACACAGCGGCACAGTATCGCTGCACGTCTAAATCTGACACACCACGGATCTGTGGCAGGCCCCAAGCCCTCCCTCCGACCTCCATTTGATTTCATGTGGAATGAACTTGGAAAAATCCAGAGGTTGTTTATCCCCCAGCTCTGTTGCTTCATGACTGCTGCTGCTTATCAGGTTAAAATTACAGCCCCCCCGCCTCCCCCTCCCTCTCCGCCCACCCTTTCTACCCATCACCACTCAGCCTCCAGCAGGGAGCCACATGGCACCTGTTCTGAAGCCCTGGCTCTATTTTTGGAGCTTCTAAATATGGGCAAGCTATTTCTTATTCCAGCCACGTACCCTCTGATGTCAATGATGGCACTTTTGCGCAAAGTGGAAAAAAACATACAAAGGCTGCCCTCAGTGACTGCAACTCTGCAACTCGACTTTATGGACACTGGTGGTAGCACTTTATAATCTATGATCTAAATAGATAGTTTGCAGCCAAGACTGTCAATGCTGGGTATTGCTGGTCATTGCAACACTGGATGTTAAGCTTAGCTCACTTTTAAATTTAGCTATCATCTGATTAGGTTTGATTTCTTTAATATAACATGCTGTATCATCTGATTTCAATATACGTGCTAGATACTCAACATCAAGCCATGGCAAGAGTGATAAAACCCACAGCAACAGCACCACTAAACTACAACAAAAAGTCTGAAATGCAATCCATCAAGACCTGTTTACAGCTACGTAGGTGACATAACTACATAATATTTACCCTTAGAATGTTTTACATTTAAAAAACGCAGCACTTACCCAATGTGTGGAGTATAATGGAGCTGTTAGTCCACACGAGCAGTGGAAAGAAAGAGAGGGCTGAAGGGGACCCAGCAGCACTCTGGTGCCTGAGACAACAGCTGTGACAGACAAGACCCTCAAAATAACCTTCCTCTGGAATCCAACGCCGGCCAATGGAGAGGTCTGGGAGAACTGGCCTGTCATGATCTTTCCAGCAAGGCTTATCAGAGGAACAGCTGAGGAGGTCATCTCCATGTGTCCTTCTAGGCTTTTGGTGCAGGCTTTTGTAACATTTACATATCTTCAAAGACTTCTAGGGTGCTGCATTGAAGCCTGGGTGGTTTAATGTCACACATTGTGGGTCTTGGTAGGTGCTAAAGTCATTTAAGTAGGAGAATCACTGGTATGTGCAACTTCCTGGAGACTTGGTGGTCAGCCAGAGACCAGCTGCCAACTGATTGTAACCAGTCACTAGGATTCATCTGATAGGCTCTAAGTGAGCACTGACAGAATGGCTACTAATGCAGCTATTTTCAGTTCCGGCTTGCCTGGAGGGTCTGTTTGCCTTCAGTCTTGTCTTCAGTAAGTGAAATACATGCTCAGAGGGGGTTCAGTTAAGAACACTCCACAATTCTGGCCATCAGCTTTTGCAGTATGGTGAAGATACTAGTGTGTTTTGAGGCTTTTAGGTCTGTCGAATTTAGTAGAATTCATTGTGTTGCTGCAGTTGCCATCCATAAAGACTAAAGTAGGCCAGTTCCTGCAAGTGCCCATGTCACCATGTCCCACATGCTTTAGTTCATGAGCAACTGCATTGGTTCATCACTCTGTAATCTTCTTCAAACCTGTCCATAAGACGTTTTCTAAAAAATATACATGTATTTTCATGTAGTCTTTATCAAACTGTTACCTGGTCCTTTCTATTGTTAAGGCCCACCAGTGGTTTGAAACCACTATTGATGCCATGCTGGTGTAATTCTACTTTTAATGGCAGCCTCTGTCTCGTCTTTGTCCTGGATAGTTTTCCAGGTCTATTCAACAGTTTTTCATCACAATTGAAAGCACTCTTTGTTCATCCACTACAGGGGTCTCCTGACAATAACTGTGGATAGCACTGTATTTACAAAAAAAAACATTTCTATAATTTTAGCAGATTTATTAATCATGCCAACCTAATACCAACAATAGCATGAGGGACACTGCCATTTAGAAGATTAGAATCACATGTATAAGCTGTAGATAAGCTATTTTAACCCCAAAGTGCTTAGACCATTACCCCAGTTGGGAGTCCCTGATGTGCCTTTTTGCATCCAAAAATGTTCAATACATTGTAAAAAATGTTATTTGTTTTAATTTGACTGACTTACTTATTAGTTTCCTCACTTTCTGGCTGACTTACAATTCTAATTTCATTGAACATAATAAATTACAGAATGAAAGACACAGATCACTGTTTTGTTAACTTTATATTTAATGTCAAGTTAACTCAAAATTTTAGGTCTGGCACAAATAAATTCGAGTTAAATTCTATACATGAATATTTAGGTTTCCTAACTAGCAGATTGAGTTAGACTTAATAAGATTAACATTTTCCCTTTTTTTGGCTTTTGACTTGATCTGGACACCGATCATTAACTTTTTACAACGGTAAATGTCCCACTAAATCAATTTTACAGGAGAAGTTGGCATCCTGGGATCCAAAGCCCAGTTCCAAACTGCTCTATACATAAAAATATTTTTATCATCAAAAACTCTTTCCCCTTCTTTATCTCTCTCTCTCTCTCTCTCTCTCTCTCTCTCTCTCTCTCTCTCTCACACACACACACACACACACACACACACACACACATACATGCACACGCAGAATTGTATCTCTGTACAGCAGTAATAACAATGATATCATGTCACAGACACTTTGGTGTTGTTAACATTTGCTTCTTATTATGTTCTTTGCTTATTTTCTTCTCTTACCATTGTTTGTCTGTCTGTTTGTTTATGCCTACATGTCCTCCCTTATGAATACATTACAAATAAAAACAAATAAATAGTCCTCCAATAAAGTGGAATCATTTTTACAGTGCAGTTATTTAATGATAAATAATATACTGTAATTCAATCTCATTGTTTTGACACGGTAAAAAAAGGTTGTTAGTTCAACCTAAATATTTACTTAATGTGGTAACAAACAATTGAACTAGTTTTGTTCAACTCAAAGAAATACTTTGAATGAAGCAGTCGTTCACTCAAAGCATTTATTTAGTTTGAATAAAACTGGTTAATTTACTTGTTACCACATGAAGTATTTTTTTACAGTGTACATTTCTCTTAACCACTTTGTAAAAGAGTGACTCTTAAATAAATACTTTGAATGAACGATTCTTTCAGTCAGTGCATTATGGAACCAAACACAGCTCTGTACATACAGCTTCTTACTGATTAGTTAAAGCCTACAAAGCTGCAGAATATTGGCAACGCAATATAATTTTTAACACATGCATTTTCAACCTATTGGTATTATATTATTGAAAACAGTGACTTCAAACTTTTGAATGGTAGTTAATCTAGTATGCCCTCATGATAGTTTATCATTTTTTAACAAATATTTCTCAAATTCTTTATTTCACACTGTAAAAAGTCATCAGATCTACCTAAAAATTGTTATATATATATATATATATATATATATATATATATATATATATATATATATATATAATTATAATTATTTCATGTGGTAACAAATAAAGTAACTAGTTTTATTTAACCTAAATAAATACTTTGAATGAACGATTCTTTCAATCAGTGTAATTTTTTGAGTTGAATAAAACTAGTTCAATTACTTGTTACTACATGAAGTAATTTTTTGGTCCCACTTTATATTAAGTGTCTCTAATAACTGTATAGTTACACAGGAATAACATATGCAACAACAGTGCAACTACTGATGATTTAGTCAATGTTACAGATAGATTATTGAACTACAGCCCATGTAATTACATATGTATATCAACATTTTTAACAAAAATGCTAGCTAAAAGTTAGAAATCCTGGCAGATCCAGTGTAAGTAATGTCTTAATGTAAGTTATTACATACTTCCTATTACTGCTGGAAAATACCTCTGAAAAAACCTGCCGTTCCAGTCTGATCACAAATGTAATTACATTTGTTATAACCCTTCTGTGATTACATGAGAGAGAATATGCTGTTACAACTATTAAGATACACTTGTGAAATTACATAAGCTGTACTTCTGTAATCCATCTGTAACAGTGACCAAATCATTAGTATTTACCGTGTTGTTGCATATGTTGTTCACATGTAACTACACAGTTATTAGAGACACTTAATATAAAGTGGGACCAATTTTTTTTGGGTAGATCTGATGAGACACTTTCTACAGTGTACAACACAAAAACAATGGTTTTATAGACTCGAGCTGAGCTGCTGTAAAATGTGAGCTACCAATCTGTTCTACATTTAGAATTTCCAGAATAGGTTTTCCCATTACTCTCTGTAATTAATAGCCAATCAGTGTGGGACCTCACAGGTTCACTCAACACCACCCCCCCCCCGACCCATGTGACATAAAGAAGGAGATCCTAATTGATACCGCTAGTGTGTCAAAGAGAGGCCACTCGCCTTGACTGTGGGAAGACTTCCCCATAATCCCGGGCCCAGACTTCTAGTAGCGAGTCTCTTTAATTATCCTGATAGAAGTGATTCTGACATTGGCTCTGGGCTTAATTATTTCACTCAGACCCTGCATCTCAATTAATGTTTGTAATGCCCTTGGTCTGAAAGGGAAGGCGCTGGTTAGTTATCACATTCTGTTCTCTAGCTGAGCTCCAGTGATGGATGTCTCTTTAACCTTGGATGCCTTTATGTCTGTAGCTTATATGTCAGCATATATCAGGGCTGGCAAGACCTTGGGAGATATAGCAAGGAGGTCTTCAGCGGCGAGCTTATTGCTTTGAGGTTTCTCAATTCACAAAGACAAATTGGTTTGGAATTATTATGAAATAATGAGGTATTTCTGGCACACGCTAAGTATTCCGACATAGTGAATATTCCAATAATAAACCAATTAACTAAATATTCACAGAGACTGTAGAAAACTGCTGGGTTAAAAATAACCCAGGTGACCCAGCGACCCAACACTGTGACCAATGTGGATGGTTCTTTCAACCCAACAAGACTAGGTTAAAGACCCAGGGAACCTAAATCTGTGTTTATTTGATCTAATTAGGTTAATCGTGTTCTTGCAGGCAAACAGTAAACATGTACTAAGTGAACAATAATATTCCACTGACCAATAATTGACCAATATATTTCACTATATTTCTCTCCTCTCAATGTAAACTGGGCAGTCCTAATCTTGGGTAGTGCTTCTGTAAGCATTCACCTGACCAATCACAAGACTGACATCTCCTGCCCCTGCCCACACAAAAGTTTCAGAGTCAGAGAAGCTTAGTGAGCTAAAGGTAACCCAGCATAACCACAAGCTAGCGAGCTAGACCACCTGTCTGTAGCTGCCCATTCATTTGTTTATTTATACATGAACAGTGTTCGCTCATCCATCCATCTGTTCATTTGTTCCTTCATTCAGTCCAGTTACCGTCACATAAAAGCTACATACTGTTTTCAGTTCTGTATGAGTGGCAGATCAGGCTAGAAGTGTCTGAGAGAGAGCTGTCAATCAAGCTGCTCATTAGCCACGCCCACACTGTTCTCAGACAGGTCTAATCAGCGGTTTTTATCATATTTATATTCTATATTTATCATTCAAGCTTTGCTGGATGTGTACTATAACAGGGGTTCTTAACCCTTTCCACCCCAAGGCCCACCTGCTCATACATACAAAGCATAGCGGCCCAAAGGAAAATTAAAATCAGCTTTTTTAATGCAGTATTATTTTTCTTTTCTTAAGCGCTGACACTGAAAACCTGAGAATTAGGGCCTGTAAAAAATACAGACCGGTTCAATCACAGAAAACAAATCACAGTTCTCATCTTCGCTATTATTTTAAGGCTCGTCGGTCATTTTTAACAGCTGCAGCTCGAGCTGCAGGAACGACAGATGAGCCAATAAGAGTCTGTAAAGAGGCAGTTGTTATAAAAGGCAGATTATACTGACTGTACAACGCTGAAAGTGCTGCTAAAAGAGAAGGAAAGCGAGCTCTATTGATGAATTTATGACTTAAAGTGATGTGAACTAGCCCACTACCA